CACTCACCTAAAAATACATTTTTGCAAGGAAATTGCTCCACCTATTGCAAACAATGTACAACTACATTGGGGCCAGTTGTAACATTCTGGTCCATTGATTGAATTTTATAGCTTATATTCTCTGATATTAACATGAAAAAGGTATTTATTATAGTTAACAAACAAATGTTGTTATTACATATAAAAAAACTGGAGTCTTAGAATGTTGTACTTAAAATATTTACAAAGAAAGTGACAAATGTTACAACTGACCCCACTCTCCCCTATTAAAACTCTGCTTAAAGAATTTCGCCATACACTCCCTTGAGTTAACCAATACTTAAATTTTACCCCCTTTCTTTTCTATTTTGTGTACCACACTTATAAGACAGCTATAGATAACTTGCACAAATGAAAGGAACTGTGACGGGAACCGCACCTGTGACACCAGGGCTGTATACAGCAATATAACTTGTGCAATGAGGCATTGGCCTGTCAATGATGTAAAAGGTTAATGAAGTCCATGATAAACACTGACTAATCAGATCACCTTTAAAGATCTATTAATTCAAAGTGTGGGTTAATAAAAGATTCAATTTCCTGTAAATTCCATTATGGAAGGGAGAAAGCCGGCATGCTGTGGCCTGACATTTCATATGCACTTATTTGTTTTAAAGTTTAAGTTAAATAAAGAGTTCTGTTTTTCTTTTATTATCAGTATCTAGCTTACTTCTTACGTCAAAAGGACAACAAATATACAGTATAACTATACTCTATACTGTATAATACAATAAATAGTAGCATTCTATTCAGATGGCAACATGCATGAGATTGAAGAAAAACACTTTGTCTTCATTACCAACACTACAACTTTTTCCATTTGTCAGTAGGAGTTTTTTTTTTCTTATGAGGACTGGTTAATAATAAAGATGAAATGAATAAATAAAACTAACATTTATTTTAGTCTATGGCTATTACAGTTTTTATACAGAAACCGATCCTGTAAAATTATTGCATGTATTGTGTGTATAAGTGTTTATATTGTATACTATGTGTATGAAGTGTGTATAAGTGTTCTAAGACATATTGTGGTCAAAACACTCTTTGTGCATTTGGAAATCATTGCACAAATATAACATTAACAGCATCTTTTTTGTCATGTGCATAAACCGTGTTGTAAGCAGCAGAGTGACCCCGGCTCGGCTCTCTGCAGCGGCCACTGCAGTGAAAGGTGATGCTAGATGCAGTCTATGATCCAGCAGTACACTGCTGAGCTATCAAAATTCTCACACCTTTCACGCCAGGCTCAGGGTATTAGACACGCAAAGGAGATACAAGACTCGGTTGTATGGTTTAAGCATAGAACATCTTATTGACCATTAAGGAGTAACTCACACCAAAGATGATCATCAGCCTACCAGAAAATGAGTAATTATAATATAAATAGGAGGTAGTATTACATGACACAGGACAGAGCTCTGGCATGGCAAAGATGTACTTTTTAAAAGGTCAAGCCTTCTAATCTCATTGTCAGCGTAAAACTTCTGACCACTGATGTCCGCAATATTATGTAACAGTTGGGGGTCAGTCCTCAACTGAACTTAAATTGTAGCCAAGGCAGCAATCTAACGTACAGTATATAAACCAAAACCCACAATCTGTGGCTTTAATAATTTGACTGATGTCCAAACATGATAACCCATACAGTGTATATTGATGTACAAATATAGATTCAAGGGTTAAGAATGTGCATTTTGAAATCTTTTTTGAATGAAAGGTGTCGAGAAGATGTTATGGTGAGATAATAATCATGCCCTAATCACTAGTGAGCTCATATTTGCTGTTGATATACCAATGACATTTACACAACTCAGGCAATCCTACTGGCAAGGGATCATCACTTCTGTTAGGGATCTCACTATATATGTGACCAATATATTACAAAGGATGAGTAAAAATATCTTACCTGGAAATCTGAGCAATCAGTTCCCAATCCTCCATTAGTTTTGACCCCTAAAGGAAATAGAGACCTGATATTCGTTTTTCTAATTGAAAAAAGTAAAGGGCCCCATTTTCAGTAGATTTTAGTCCTTGATATTTGAATAGAACCTTTCATAATCTCAAACATTATACTCTGTAAAATTAAATGGATAAAATAGACCTCTCAAGGGTTTTCATGAAAAGCTCTCAGAAGGGCTGTGTCTGCAGCTACAGTGAGCACTGAGTAGACATCCATTCAGGTTTCATAATGACAGTGAAAAATGCAATGTAAAATCGCATATTCAGAAAATGAGATTTGTAATAATATCATTTCTCAGACACTGCGTTGCTGGGGAAATGAACTCTGTTATGTAGGGAAAAAAAGTGTTTTATAACCCACTAACCAAATGCTGTTAACAGTCAGTCCGTATCTTTGTCTAGGTGAGTAACTCACAGAATAATTTTGAATGAAATTAATCAGATATTAAAGTTTTAATGAGTTCCAGCGCATAAATACAAAATTTACAGAACCAATCCATAGCATGATTCTGTTTCAGATTATTTTTTAAAGAATGCTATAAAATTTTTCAAATTATATCTATAAAATCTACATATGAAACTGATAATATACTGTTTTTTAAATAAAGAATCCCACTAATTAAACAATTAAATAATGAATTGTTTAATTAATTAATAACAAGCAATCTGTTATATAGCGTAATAAAATTACGTCTATAAAACGGTTTTACATCTAAAACAGGCAAAATAGTATTTTTTCCAAAATGCTTTCAAAAATACAACTTAAAATACCATAAAATTAAACAAATAATCTGAAGGTACTTTGCATTTTTTATTTTTTTATTTTTTTATTTTAACATTAACAGTGGTGTGTTAGAGATAGAGCTATCATTTGTATGTATGACTTTATAGAGATTTTCATTTTGTTTTGTCATTCCATTTATTTTCCAAAAGAGTGAAAATATACTTATGTTCTTGAAATAACCATTACATCTAAAATGTACTAAACTGTATGGCGACGTGAAAAGCATGTGTCTTAGTTATTTTTCATAAGCCAAATTAATCACAAATGCCTTTAGTCATAATTCAGCGATTCAAATTAAATAATATTTCACATGATCTCAGGTTGTTGAGGGTCTACATCTGATCAAACATTCAAGCAACATACAAGCAGGCCACATTTTATCTCTACACTGAGGCTCTGCCTGTTTGATCTGCTTTATCTGAATATATCGAGCTAATCTGTTTTGAAGTTTCATTCGCTGGGGGTCACAGGATGTCACCTCTTCTTTTATGTTGGCGCAGCTCAACGCTGAAGCCATTGAAATGATAATGCAACCTTTTCACCATCTGGATCATTTTATTGTGCTCCAGTGTGGCTATTCTGAATATGCTCAGTCATATGACAAAGTTGGAAGATGACTTTAGTTACCAGATGGCTAGTTTTTTCATTATTGTTTGTTATAATGATAATTTATTGTATTATTTTTCCCAGGAATGCGGGAAAGCATTTAACATTGGTGCTGGAATTTTAAGCAACATACATGTAACACATGTGCTATCTATATATTATTATAATTGTAGTAGTTGCAGTTAAAGGAATCCTGATTCACTCTCAGAACCCTGCATCCTTGATTTTTCCCATGAACACTTCTACATTAACATGTTTCCTCTGCTATAGCCACAGTCACTGTAGTGTAGTGTGATGCGGTATGTAAATACTGCCTGATGGCTCCATGATGACTGTATAGTGCAAGATGAGGGTACAAGATGGGTACTGTGTCAATATCTTATTTAGTTAAACATAGAAGTATTTTACCCTCGAGTGAAAGTCAAACAGTATCTACATTTAAACATTAACCAAACATTAAAGCGTAGCTATTTTAACTGATGAAGAGGGCTGACCACAAGTTCATCATGCCGATCCTGCATGACTAGCTAGTTCCCTTAGCAAACAGTCATAAGGAAAATATTCTGCTAACTCAGACAAACCGAGATTTTGGCTTGCTGGTTAGCTAATGTTTAGTAACCCTTTTAGAAAGAACTACCTAGCAAATTCAACAAGCTAATACATGACGTGAATTGCTAGCTTATTTAACTAGCTAAATTACACAATTTAACTAGCAAATTTATCAAACTTAAAAATAACATACATTTTGAGTTTTGATGGTGAATTGTAGAGGCTATATTTCATTTTTATGTGGGGAGCAAATGAGACAGCTCGTCCTGTATGAATTGGTAACTCCAGCAAAAGACTACATCTTCTTATTACTAAGAAAAAAAAATCCAAAATCTCCTGGCTTAAGAGATTTGTAACAAAATGGAAATGTAAGGAGTAAAACATATGTACAGTCCCCTCTGAAATTGCTGTAACTACAAAGGCCAATCCTTTTGTTTTTGCTTTACACTGAAGACATTTATGTTGCTATTCAGAGCTATTAATTGTTTAAACAATTACTCTAACAGGGCAAGTCTGGGCAACAAAAAAAACACCTGTCAATCAAATGTTCATATATTTTGATCACTTGAAAAATGGGTGGGTTCAAACAGAAGGTGCCATGTTCTAACCTGTTTAATGCATCAGGATGTAAATATCAGGAAACGAAAGCTGAAATTCTGATCTTTCGTCTCATATTCATCTTTTGATCTCAAACCAGATATGTCTTCACTATATAGAAAAAACAAAAGAAATGGCCCTGCTGTTCCAATACTTTTGGAGGGGACTGTTTTTTCTCTTGGAAATTTTCTTAAGTTAGAGTAAAATTATTTCAATAATACTTGTGTAATAATAAATATACTTAATAATAAAATAAGATAATACTTAAACACAGTAACGAAGGACAATTGCTCAGGTATGTTCCACCCCTGACAGCAGAATAATTTAGGTTGAGAAATCTATTTTTTTCCCCACAAAGTCCACACACTCACATTGACAGCACATGATGTTACAGTGCCCTCATGTGGTTTTGTAATGTACTTACACCTGAACGTTCATTTTCGGATTTACAGATATGACTGTGGGGGGCACGGTGGCTTAGTGGTTAGCATGTTTGCCTCGCACGTCAGGGGCTGGGGTCTCAAATCCCTCCTCCGCCCTGTGTGTGTGGAGTTTGCATGTTCTCCCTGTGCTTCGGATATGTTTCCTTGAAGGGTTTCCTCCGGGTACTCCGGTTTCCTCCCCCAGTCTAAAGACGTGTTGTAGGCTGACTGGCATTTCCAAATTGTCAGTAGTGTGTGAATGTGTGTGTAATTGTGCCCTGTGAAGGGTTGGCACCCTGTTCAGGGTGTCCCCTGCCTTGTGGCCTGAGTTCCATGGGATAGGCTCCAGGCTCCCCGCGACCGTGTGTAGGATAAGTGGTACAGAAACTGGATGGATGGATATGACTGGACCCCCTGACCAAGATTATCCACATTACACTGGTGTTAATGTAACTGCAAACCCCATAATGAAACCCACCTCAAACAGGTCCGTCCATCAGCCTGCTATGGCTCACAAAGATCGATAACATACACTCACTGTCCACTTTATTAGGAACACCTGTACACCTTCACATTCATGCAGTTACTCAATCAGCCAATCATGTGGCAGCAGTGCAATGTATAAAATCATGCAAATACAGGTCAAGAGCTTCTGTTAATGTTCACATCAAACATCAGAATGGGGAAAAAGTAATCTCAGTGACTTTGACCATGGTATGTTTTTTGGTATTTCAGAAACTGCTGATCTCGGATTTCAAGCACAACAGAGTTGTTTGAGTTTACACAGAGTGGTGCGAAAAACCAAAAACATCCAGTAAGTGGTAGTTCTCCAAACAGTAATGTCTTATTGATGAGAGAAGTCAGGTGAGAATGGCCAGACGGGTTCCAGCTGACATGAAGACTAACTCACATAACCACTCTTTACAACAGTGGTGAGCAGAAAACCATCTCAGACAACGTATCGAACCTTGAAGCATATGGGCTACAACAGCAGAAGCCCATTGTGTTCCACTCCTGTGACCCAAGAACAGGAATCTGAGTCCACAGTGGGAACAGGCTCACTAAAACCATAATAATCACATTAGTACTGTGCATAGTTATAACTGTATTATGAACATTTTATTACTGTGTTATTACCATTCATATTTAATACTGTGTAATAATCATTATTATTGTTATAACTACGAGCAGTTAGTACCATGTTATTAGCGTGTTACTGCTGTGTTACAACTACATCTAATACCTTGTTTTTAGAAAATAAGTGATGTTCATGATTGCTAACATTTGCAATAAACATTTCCCATGTTCTCTCTGTGTTCTTGTGGGTTTCCACTGGGATCTCAGGTTTCCTCCCACTGTCCAAAAACATGCAGGGGGATTGATTCAGAATAAGTGTGTGTGTCTCTCTCTCCTGCACTTTCTCTCTCTCTCTACATATACACATATATATACAGACAATGGTATGAAAAACAAAAAACATGTGAGCGGAGGGTCTGCAGGCTGAAAGTCCTTGTTGATGATCAGAGGAGAATGATCATACTGGTCTGAGCTGACAGGAAGTCTGTAGTAACTCAAATAATCACTCTTTACAACCATGGTGAGCAGAAAAGCACCTCAAAAATGCACAACACATTAAACCTTGAGGTGGATGAGCTACAACAGCAGAAGACCACTTCAGGTTCCACTCCTGTCAGCCAAGAACAGGAATCTGAGTCTATCATGGGCACAGACTCACCCAAACCTAGACAGCTGAACACTGGAAAAAGACCAGGTGATTTTTTCCCCCTAATCTTCAACTGTCCAGTTGAGTCTGTGCCCATGATAGACTCAGATTCCTGTTCTTGGCTGACAGCAGTGGAACCCAAGAGACTTTAGAGACTGTTGTGTGTGAAAATCTCAGGAGATCAGCAGTTATAAAAATACTCAAACCAGCCCTTCTGGCACCAACAATCATGCCACGATCAGAATCACTGAGATCACATTTTTTCCCCATTCTGACGGTTGATGTGAACACTAACTGAAGCTGCTTGCCCGTATCTGCATGATTTTATGCATTGCACTGCTGCCACATGATTGAATGCTGATTAGATAATTGTATGAATGAGTAGGTGTATAGGTGATCTATCTATCTATCTCTCTACCTCTTCAGTTTTACACACAGTACATTGTCATCAATGCCCTCATGTGGTCTTACAATATAACTACACCTGAATATTTATACACCAGCCCTTTCTTTTGAGTGCATGATGCAGAATGTGTGAAGGTTGATTACAGAAGTGATTAAACTCAGTGGGGGTTTTAAATCATGTGTAAATGGTTGTAAATTATAAATGTACCCAGAGCTCAGTGTTTAAAGTAAACTGAACTTCTATAGTCAGCTAAATATTTTTGGTATGTTGGTATGTGCTGTGTTTAGTCTTTTACATGGATAGACATTCGATGGCTAGGAAGCAGGTTTTATTTTTAGTATAGAGCAAACTACATCGAAATTATTCACCAGTTTAAATACAATGGAAATGAAAGACCATTACTTTTGATGGTCTTCTCACTTCTACTACAGTGGAAATCCTTCCGCTTGGGACTATATTGTCTTATTGAAAATGGCAAAAATATTAGATATTTAGTTTCTTTAATGGTGTGAGATGTTTGAGGAGATATATACACTGTAATGTGGTTTGATATGAAATCTTAGATGTGTACAGTATTAGTGACTCAGTCAGCTGGCGGAGTGCCGGTTTCTTCAAAAACCCTCCGCCGTATTTGATTCAGTGTGAGCGGAAATACACATGAAACTACTTCCGCTTTCCGTTTGCTGGTGAGTTCGTGGATGCTCTTTCTGTCTTTTCTTTTTATTTTTTTGTACTTTTATTTATATAAGGCGGAATATAATCGCTTAGTATTGCTCGTGGTTGTTTGTTTGTGTGTTTAAAGATGAAAGCGCGGGTTTAATTAGCACTGAAAGGCGGAAATGGCTCCGAGTTGCTAAGTTAGCAAAGTTAGCTCCTGTGTGTTATTCTCAGTGTAAAAGCTCACGCGCCGGCGGGTAGGCCACTTCTAAGCCATGGTTCACGTCTTCAAACAGCTTGAGGGCTGAATGAGAGCGTGTTTGAATGATAGCCTGTGTGTTTTCTCTCTCTTTCCCTCTCTCTCTCTGTAACTTCACCCCGCAGTGATATGTCCTGTTTACCGCAGCAGCAGCTCGTGCTGTTAGCGCGCTAATTAGCTTAGCTCTGTAGCTCTGCAGCTCTGCAACCTGCAGCTTGGCGCGCGTGCAGTTCAAAGTTGACTGGGATCCTTAATGAAGTTTGTGTGCAGCTTTTAAAGCCTGCTGTGTTAGGTGTGTGTGTGTGTGTGTGTGTGTGTGTGTGTGTATGATAGGAGTTGTGCACAGTACTGTAAAGCTCAGGGTTCTGCACTGCAGACTGTTTGTGACACCGCCTTACTGAGGCATCATGTGCATTGCTGGTTATCAATAATAGCTGTTTTTAAAGTTGTATATTTATTTTACTTAAATGATCCCACACACTTGTTATAAAGCCCAGTAAATCCCGCGCGCCTGGTGCACATCACAGCAAGTCAGTGACGTAGGTGTAGTGTGTGTGAGTGACTGATGGACTCTGTGTGTGTGTGTGTGTGTGTGTGTGTGTGTGTGTGTGTGTGATGTACATGTCATTGCAGACAGGATGAGTTGGAGCTGATCAACCCTGCACGCACCGGTCCACCCCTGATTGAGCTGCACGCGCTGTCATCATGGCATTCGTGGCCACGCCCAGCGCCACCGTGGTGGATCAGACCACCCTCATGAAGAAGTACCTGCAGTTCGTAGCCGCCCTCACCGACAACAACACGCGTGAGTATCGAGCACACATCCATGCCACTTCTTCAGTTTTTGACTTGACCACATCAGAGTGGTGCTTGAAGATCTCACAGTGACATCTCCAAGTTAACCGAGCATCATGGTCATGTGTCAGTAAGCATCGCATATCCAATGAGTACTCAAAAACCCTATATATATATAAAGAAAAAAAAGACTTCCCCACTCGAGAGGGCAACTGTTTCAGCCTGGTTTTACTCTCACAGATGAAAATCTCACGTCGTAAATGGGTTCATTTGGCCGTGGGTTCTGATTCCCAAACCTTGAACCAGGAAAAGCCAAATAAAGGACCTTGAACCAGGAAAAGTCAAATCAACTCAACATGTCTGCTCACAGCATCAGAAAGAAAACAAAGTAGCACTTCTTTACTCTTAAATGAGTAAATGAGTTGTGTATATACTAGGTTTTTTTTTTTTTTTTTTTTTTTGCTTTAGGTTAATCATCATACAGACATTCACTTGTTAAATCTATAACATTGTTTATACAGTTTGCTGTTTGGAGGAGGAAAATATACATCACTTATCACAGCTAGCTGGATAGGTTGTTGCTAAGAAAAGACGGACATGAAAGTGTGCATGAACCCCGCGCACACACACACACACACTTTGTACCTCGAATGCAGAGAGGTCGAAAATGGTGTCATTCCAAGCTCTTGCTAACCACTTCTGAGATAAATTGAATGCAGCAGTAATGTCAAGGTGACTACACCTCAAACATCTTGAAGAACATATGTTTTACAACTTGAGCCAATTGTTAGCAGTCAGTTTCCCAAATATGGTCAGATTTCCTGTTTGACGCTGCTGTGTGAGAGGGAAAGTGATGCCCAGTAAGTGCACGATTGGTTTTTGACTGAGGTGACTGAAAAACATCATAAACACACATTACAAAAACCAAAATACTGGCAGTACTGGGTGAGAAGCAGTAAGGTCTTCTTAAGGTTTTAGCCTAAACTATGAGGTGTGTATGAGGGAGAGTGTGACTACTGTGACGGGTTGTGTTGTGTGCGATTAAGATTTGGTGGTGAACGGAAAAACTGGTAATATCTGAGTCACCAACTATGTGCTGTTCTCTTTAATGTCACTTTCAGAGGATGAGACCAAGCTGAAAATGATGCAGGAAGTCAGTGAAAACTTTGAGGTAAGCCCTAAAGTCCTAAAATTAGAAATGCAGACCTTGCCGTTTGTGGTCCCCCCCCTTTCCCTTAACTTTGCACTTTTAATTTCTATATTTTATCTAAAATATG